TGAAGAGGGGTTAATTGAGAAAGAATTGGAGTATACAAGAGGAAATTGCTGAGTAAACAAACTGGACAAATAGGTGCTTTCTCCTCAGAGTGAATGTTTTTATTCTGTGCATACATGTGATAGAACTAATCCTTTGCAGCAAAGAACAGGTGTTCTCTAAGTTGGGAGTATTGTGTTTAAGTAAGTTTTACTCAATGTCTGAAAACTCTCTTTTGTTACTTTTGCAATACTATTTAATATTAGATTTAGAATGGTACAGCACGGACATACTTGCTTTGGCAACTGTAAATAGATGGAAAGTTTTTATTTTTAAAGAATTATATTTTTGTTGTCTCGATATTCTGCAGTCCTTATGATGGAGCTTTCGTGGTAGGATTACAGAATCCTAACAGATATTCATAGTAGGATTACAGAATCCTGTAGAATCCTGCAGAGATATTTCAAGAATTATGAACATTTGTGTATGACTTTTGACTTTCTGAAAACTTAACATCCCCCTGATGACTTTTTCTTGTCTACTTTACTGATAACATAAACAATATATATTTTATTTATTTATTTATTGACAATATATATTTTATAACGTAAACAATCACTATATATTTTGTATGATATATCGATATATTATATACTATATTCTTACAGTGGAGTAAGCTAGAAAAAGAAGTTATTAAAGAAAATCATAGAATATATATTTATAAAACTATATTGTATCTACCAATAATGTAAATTTATGTTGGTTCTTAAAATACACATATAAATGGACCTGCAGTATTAAAAACCTATGTTGTTTATAGGTAATTTCTAGTTGTTCCAACTATAATTTGCAATTTGTTTTGTTCTTTTTCTCAAGGTTACTTTTGCTGTTTAGTGGTTCCATATAGACTTTAGGATTGTTTTCTATGAAAAATGCCATTGGAATTTTGGTAGTACTTGCTTTGACTCTGTAGGTTACTTTGGATAGTATGGACATTTTAACAATAATCTTCCACTCTATAAGCATAGAATATCTTTCCATTTATTTGTGCCATCATTGATTTCTTTCATCAGTGTCTTACAGTTTTCACTGTATAGGTCTTTCACCTCCTTGATTAAATTTATTCCTATTTTACTCCTTTTTGGTGCAATTGTAAGTGTACTTCCTTAATTTGTTTTTGCTAGTTTGTTTCTAGTGTATATAAACAACAGGTTTTTGTGTGTTTTGTGTCCTTCAACTTTACTGAATTTGTTATAACTTCTGTTTTTGGTGAAATCTTTTGGTTTTACATATCTGTGTATACATGTATGCAAAATGTCTTGTCATCTGCAAATAGTGCTTCTTTCTCTCCAATTTGGAGGCCCTTTATTTCTTTTTGTCTTATTGTTGTGGTTAGGATTTCAATACTATATTGAATTAGCATCTAAGTACATCAGTGATTTGGCCTGCGATTTTCTTTTCTTGTGGTAGTGTTCTTGTCTGCTTTTGGTATCAGGATAATGTTGGCCTTGTGAACTGAATTTTGATGTGCCACTTCCTCGTTTTGTGTGTTTTGTGAGAGGGGGAGATTTTGAGGAAGATTGAATGTGTCTTCCTTGAATGGTAGAATTCTTCAGTGAAACTTTCTGATCCAGGACTTTCGTTTGTTAGAAAGATTTTGATTATTGATTTAATCTCCTTACTAGGAGTGGATCTGTAAAGATTTTTGATTTTTTTGTTATCAAGTTTGGTAGATTATACGTTTCTAGAAATTTATCTATTTCTTTCACGTTCCAGTTTGTTGCTGTATAATTGTTCATAGTAGTCTTTTATGATCTTGTATTACGTCTCCTCTTTCACGTCTGATTTTGAGTCATCTCTTTTTTTTTCCCTTGGTGAGTGTAGCTCTTAAGATGTGTCAGTTTTGTTTATCTTTTCGAAGGACCAGCTCTACATCTTGTTCATCTCTTTTTATTTTCTTTTTAGTCTTTATTCCATGTATTTCCATGCTAACCTTTAGTTCCTTCCTTCTCCTAATTTTGGGCTCTGTCATTCTTTTTCTCATTCTTTAAGTTGCAAAGTTAGGTGGTTTATTTGAGCTTTTCATTATTGCCTACGGTAGGTAGGTATCACCAAGAACTTCATTTTAGAACTGCTTTGAGTTTATCCTATAAGTTTTGGGATGTTATGTTTCCGTGTTTCACTAGTGAGGTTATTTTTTCTTTCTTTTAATTTCTTCTTTGCTCCAATGACTATTCAGTAGCATGTTGTTTAATCTCTTAATTGTGAATTTTTCAGTTTTCTTCTTGTAATGGATTTTTAATTTCTAATTTCATACAACTGTGGTCAGAAAAGATGCTTGATATGATTTCACTCTTAAGTTTACTAAGACTTATTTTGTGGGCTAATGTGTTTTGAGAATATTCCATATGTGTTTGAGAAGAATGTGTATTCTGTTGCTTTGGTTTTTTTTTTTTTTTTTTTTTTTTCAAGGAGGTAATGAACTGATGATCTGAAAATTCTAAAAGCAAGACCTCCTTTCCTCCCTCTTCTAGACCCTAAGAATTAAGGCTGATTAATATAGTAGTGCAGTGATTCTTTTTATTTGGTTTAGTAGATCGGTAGCATCAGATTACTTGGGTACTTATTAGAAATGCAAATTCTGGGAGTGGACCCAGATATCTGTTTTGACAAGCCTGTTAGGTGATTCTGAAGTCCTCTAAGTTTGAGAAGGCTGCTTTAAGCAATAGCCAATTGGGTAAGGGAAAGGTAATGTTCTGTGCTGACCAATGAAAGGTCTGACGGATTTTCACCTGGTAGATTTTGGAGGAATGTAGAGCCCCAGAATCAGTGAACATAGTGTCTTGGCTCTTGGTCTCCAGTGGTGTCAGGGTGTTAATAGTAGCCTCAAAGCACGTGTTATAAGTTTGGTCTTTGCTTGAACATAGCAGTTGCTGTTAGTCTGAACAGTTTTTACAAGGAATAGTCAATTTAATATGACTTCATTTGTCTTTCCTATGGTTTTTATTTTTTTTTTTTAATTTTTCTATGGTTTTTAAAAACGTATTTTCTATATGTAAATTAAACATAGTAGTAAACTTTGTGTAAACTTTCCCCTCATAAAAATGAGTTGTTATTTTAAGCTATAGTCATTTGGAATTCAAATTTCTTTTTTGCTGAAAAATGTTGTGATAGATGAATATTATTTCAGAGAGGCTTATCCTGATCACCTTACCTAGAATACCAGATATACTGTTACTATGAAACTGAGGAAGACATTTATTGAAGTAACTGTAAAACTTTTGTAAAAGACAATGAAAAGGGTTAACGATAGGATTTATGAATATATTTGATTAAGATTTGCTGAGGAGGAATAATTGGAGCAGTGTTGAAGAAGCCTCAGGGGTGAGGTATACACAAATTTAATAGTAGTGATTTTTGTCTTGGTATACTGTTTGGCCACAGATCTGTAATTCAGAATGCAGCTGGCCTTGAACAGCTCCATAAATGGAGAGAAGAATGCTTCGCAGCTCTGGAAGACTTGGTGGCTGACTAGGATCCTAAAAAGAACTAAATTGGAGATGAGGATACTTGACTGTAAAAATGAGTAGCATGGATGACTTGAGCAAATCTTTGCATGCTTAATTCATGCCAAGACAAATTTTATAGGCCAGGAAATAAAGCCCTGGAAATTTGATGACTTTCCCCATATCAAAGTTAATGAAGAAGCTGGGAGTTGAATCCAGGTCTCTAAAGTCTGAAATGGACTGCCTGCCATATTTGTGTAGTGGCTTGATTTCCAGTGGTTCTAAGAAGAGTCTCTGACACTGTCATTCTTCTTCAAAAAAAGAAAAACATAAAAAGAAGAAAAACAAAAGAAAAATTGCAAAATATTTAATTCATTTGTATGATAATATCTATCTTAAACTCTTGCCAACAATGATTCATGATCATTTAACATTTTAACAAGCATTATCTTGAGTGGGATAGTCCCTTGAGGAAATAAATTTGGGAGTGGGGGACTAACTCATGGTCAGAGGGCACCTAATACTTACTTACTTATTTAGTTGGCCCCAAAACCTTGCTCACTTTGTCCCAGCTCTAGGCTGTCAAATATTAAACAGGTACAGCAGGTTGGTCGCTCCTTTTCAGAACATTTCATGTTTTAATGTGTACGTCAAGTGTTCCCTTTGCGTGGAAAAAAAAAATTGCTTATCAACAACTCCTGAAAGGTTGCTGCTCTCTCTGGATACTATTTGTGCTACATTAATTTACCAGACTTGACAGAGCTCTGACAAATACTGCTAGTCTTAAATCAGTGAACAAATTGTACAAACATTGGACTGATTTTATTTCTTAGTACAGGATATTTGGAGATGGGGTTGAGGAAAGTATGAAAAAAAGGAACGCTTCTCTTTCTGATTCCCTGAGATAGTGCTGTCTAGGCTTACTAAGGAGGATGCTCCTTCCAGCCTTACTTCTTCTGTTCCTCTCCTCCTCTGCTCTTCCTCTCTTCCTTCCCTCCATCCTTCCTCCCCAGCCTTCTCTAGAAAGACTTTTTTTTTTTTGTTATTGTTGCTTTACTTTTGCTGTGAAAAGAATTAGACTTGGGTTGATAATGCCAATGTATCAGAACTCTAGAACAATAATTAATTTGCCATTTAGGGTTCTGTTTCATTCAAACAAACTAAGTAATGATCTTTTCATGGAGGCATTTGATTAGATTCTGAAGGGCCAAATCAAGCTGTTTCTGGGCATGGGGCCACATTTTATAGCATGACTTGTTTCATTTTTGAATGATTTGGTACTTAGGCTAAACCATTGAAGACTGATTCCAAGAAAATAAAACTGGCAGCACAATTTGTTCTGTTTCATTTTTTTTTTTTCTGTTTCAAAATATGCTTGATTTTGAGAGTAGATGGGATTGGAGCTGGGAGATGGGACTAACTGGGAAAGGAATCCCATGAGTGGGAAAAAGGCTGTTGTTGGATTGTTAGGAGTGCATTCAGCCTGAGTGATTAGCAGTTTTTGGCCATGAGGAAGAGGGCCCTAAAAATAACTGCTGAGCAGAGTTTGCAGTCAGGTCCTATTTCAGATCTAGAGACCTTGCGGAGAGAGCCACAGCCAATCTAACGCTCTAGTAGGGAAGGGCATGTGGCATGCCCGATACCTGCTGAGAGGGCTTTGACTTTTTTTCTTCAACATATATTATTCATGGAGTGAAGAAATCAAAATGATTGAAGGTAGAGGTATATTTTTATTGTTTGGGTTTAAAGTGGGTTGAGATCTAGCTGATCAATTTTAGCTTTGTTTTTAGTTGTGTTCTTTTAAACTGTTTTTGCCTAAGTGCTTTGACTACATCTTCTGCATTTTCTATTTTGAACTAACTCCTGGAGATAGCTACTTTTCATAGTAGTTTAATTTTTCATGGAATAATCTGCTTTTATTTGGAATGTTTTAGTGTCTTGGCTTAGAATATCTTTTCGTATATTGTACTACTAGACACCATGTTTTACAGATTTTCAGTAAAATGTTCAAGAAGTCTCTCTTAATCATATAAGTAAATTAAAGTGAATTCAAAGAATTTTGTGTATCCAGATACCATGTAAAATTATAGGAAGATTAAGGGATATATAAGTCTGTCTTGTATAAATGAGCACCCTTAATTGGTTCAAGCAAAGACTTACCATATGTGGAAACTGCCCTAATTTTTGTGAAGCATGTGATAAATGCACTGGACACTAGGCTTTTGTTTTTTTAAATCAAAACTTTCTACTGTTCTTTAATAATGTGTTGAATTTATATTTTTGTGTTTGTTTTTGCTTTACTTTATACATTTAGATTATCTTTTCATTTACATGAAAGCTCATTGCATTGACTCATTAAGTAGAACACTTGTTTAAGAAAAAAAAAAATAGGTGTATTAAACAGCTTCCAACTTTGAGCTGCCTCAGCAGGGACTGGAAGGATTCTATTATTAGTATACAGAATATGAGTCTCTCTACTTGAACACTGTTGAGTAATTGGTTGGAATGGGTCACTTGACTATTCTGATTAAGTGCCTCATGTGGCCAAGAGGAAAAATAAGAGGCATGTATCTACTTCTAGTGCTTGCAGAGGACATTTCTCCCCTTCTCCGTAGATCCCATGATCTCCAGAGTGAGGTAAAATCAACTCCTTCTGACTTACTTTAAATAGTTGTTTTTTCCCACAGGGAAAACTCATACATGGTTGATTTATAACTCAGTAGTAGTCTAGTTAGGTCATCTGACTGCTGTTCAGGTTCTGGGGTACATCTTCTATTTTCCCTTTCCTCATACAAATAAATACCTGCTGTCCCTAGCCCAGTCATTTTGGAGAGAGGCACATTCCATTTCTCACCATGGTAATTTTCTGTGTTTGGTGGCATGTAAGAACAATGTTTTCTGATTTGGAGGTCATGTACATTTGATGGGTCAGTGGAAAAAATGAGTGACATAGTTCTTGCATTTTCTTTTTTGCCTTAATCAAATTTTATTGAGGTACTATTCATTTAGGAAACTGATTTTGAAAGTAAAACTTCACACCTGCCTGTGGGTATATCCTTCACTTGCCCACCGCCGGAGCTCCAGTGTTGGCCCTGTACTCCACCACTTCCACTCTGGTAACCACCATATTTTTTTTTGCAGTATGAGAGTTATTTTTTGTTGTGTTTTGCCAGCTTGTTTTTTTTTTCCCCCCATATTCTTAACCCTATTTAAAAAGGTCTTTTTGACCAGTCCTTGGGGTCCAGATGTCAAATATGGAGCCAAAAAATGAAATGAAGTATCTAGATTTATTCTGATCTTAGAAAATGAGGACAACTACTGGATTCTTCCAGAATACCTTTGGAACAAAGTACTGCTTTGTTTATGGAGTTTTAAACCCTCATGAAGGGTTTATCTCACTATGTTCTTTTTGAATTTAATTGGGCAGATACCAAATTTATGAAAGTGATACATCAAAAGTGTTATTTGGTGTTGATAAGAAACCTTCTCCTTGAAAAAAAAAGTCTTAGGAATGACTTCTTTTTGTAATTTACTGTTTTGTTCCCTTACGGAATTAGTAACTATTAACAGTAATAAGATTGATATATTAGTGTAACACATTGTTTATTTGACATTATAAAGGGATGGAGAAAGTGTTAATGATTTAATAATCTAACATTTACTGTTTTCTGACATTTACCTTTTTAAATGATAAATCTTTAATAAAAATATTTTGAATAAAAATCTTCCTAAGATTTAGTATACATTTCTTGCATTCTCAAACAGATTAAAATAATATTTCAGTGACAGAATCAATATGAATAGCAGTCATTGCTTTGTACTAGAGTTTATTTTAAGGACTGGTCAGGGTTTGCCTACAGTCATCAACCATAAATGGCCTACTCTTCCCAAGTTCTGTGTCAACTCTTGCTGCCCCATTCTTGCCTTTTATAGACCTCCCCTCTATCAGCATTTGTTGCTTTAAATCCTTTAGGTGAGATTGTTTTTAACATCTATTCTTTAGTTTTGTGCAGTGAGTTAGGAAATTTGATTGCAGTTGTTTGAAACATGTCTAAAAATAAATGTAAATAGATTCTAGTTAAAGGTGTAGTCTTTATTTGTTTGGCTTTCTCCTCCTACTCCCGATCTCTTGCCTCTGTGTTGGTATATGTATTATATTCGATGTTTCAGATTAGTAACTGAGGTGAGTATTGCTGAATTAATGTGGATGAATGATTCTTTCCTTTTGAGAAACTCAGCATTTTCCTCAATTTCTACTTTAAGAAAGAGAAAAATGGAGAAAGGATTGAACCGTGAATTTAAATTATTTTGTTAGTTCTTTATTTTAACTAGAATCATCTTGAATATAGTTTCAGAGATGTACACATTTTGAATACTTAATTATTGAATAAAAATTGTGTCCTGTTTGCACATACATGCAGGACAAATATGTTAAATGAATAAAAAGTAAACTGTATTTAACCTTACTGTTTTCTGGTTCAAAAGAAAAATATAGGAGACTGGTGTCAGTTAGACAATGTCCAAGAGGAGATAAGACGAGAACCTAGTTTTCCTGCAATTTTATCCCTCATTTTAAATACACATTTTAAATATGATTCTTAGAGGCTGCCTAAGTAGGGGTCATGGAAGAAAAATTCTTAGTCATCAGCTACTATGTTCCATATTTGGAAGTAAATGGATATTCTTGAGTGCATTATTTTTATTATAATTGGTGGTTTTTACAAGTAGCTATCCAAGTTTATACAAGTAGTGTGATTTAGGCCCAGGAAGAGTGTTTATTTTTAAATATATAAATTATAGGGCCTCCCTGGTGGCGCAGTGGGTTAAGATGCAACCTGTGACGCTGTCTGCTGCCTTTGCAGCTCGAGTTGGATTCCCAGCTGGCCAGGGAGCTACCCACATGGTGCAGCAGACCTCTCCTGACTCACTCTCTGCTCCCCTCAGCAGTGTACTTCGGTCATTCTGCCTGTTCTGTTTCTCACTCTCTCTCTGGTGAATCCTCTCACCCCCTACGCCTCTGGCCTGTACCCCAGTGTTTGTATGCATAAATAAATGAATCTTTAAAAAAAAATCAGGAACCTTTAAAAAAATACATATATATATATATATATATATATACACACACACCTTATTTATTTATATAGCTAGATCTTCGGAGACATTTGGTAGATCGCGTTAGAAACAACTTATTATTTGCTTAGTATTATTTTGTGAATTTACCATATGAATATAAGTTTTTTCCTTTTTTGATGGGGCGATTAATATTTTTAGAACATTAGAAAAGGGAATTGACTTTTTCATTAAGACTAAATATAGAACTGTTGACTGGTCATCACAATCACTAATTATTTAGTCATATCAATTTTAGAAATCTAAATATAGTTTATCTATGTAAGAAATATAAATATGGATACGTATATATATATATGTTTGTATATATTCCCCCCTCCTCAGGATGATTTAATTTTATTATTTTTTTAAAGATTTATTTATTTATATGAGTACTGGGATACAGGCCAGAGGCACGGGAGGGTGAGAGAATTCACCAGAGACAGAGTGGGAAGCAGAACAGGCATACTGACCAAAACACACTGCTGAGGGGAGCAGTGGTCAAGGGAGGTCTGCAGTGCCGGCGGGTTTCTCCCTGGCCAGCCGAAAATGGAACCAGCGCTGCAGAGGCTGCAGACAGCTCCACAGCGCTGCGCTCAACCCGCTGCATCACCGGGGAGACCCTGATTTAATTTTATAGCCCCTTTTAAAAAGTTGATAAGAATGGTTGGTTTAAAAAGGTGTGTGTGTGTCTGTGTGTGTGTGTATGTCTCTTTGTGTGTATTTTTTCCACAAGAATAATTCCTTTCATTTTTTTCTTTTTGTTCCAACAATATTAACATTATATTTGATTTTACCCACTGGAAAACTACCAGTATTATATAATTAGAGCTTTATGTGGTAGTCAGAAAGCAGGTTTGGAATTAGATAATTTTGCTCACTTATGGAACAAGGAACTCATAGAAGTCAGGGTTTACTTCCTCAAGTTTCCCAAACTGGGCTGGTGACTTTGGGTGAATCATTTAATCTTTATTTTTAAAAGAAGTGATATTAATTATATCAAATGTGATGGGTGATGCATTTGGTGGACAGCAATTTAGAAAGCTATTTTTTTTCCACTGACACCAATTATGAAGGAGCAGGACTGAATTGCTCACTGTTTTGTTTCTCTTCTTCCCTGACCTCTTATTTTCTATAAATAGTTTCTTCTTTCTCTCTCTACCTAAGAACATAGAGTGGGTTTTTGGGAGATATTTTCCTATGGCATTTAAAAGAGTGTTTTACCAGTGAAAATGGCACATATTAAAAAAACTAGCAACAACAAATGTTGGCGAGGTTGTGGAGAAAAAGGAACTCTTCTACACTGTTGGTGGGAGTGCAAACTGGTCCAACCACTATGGAGAGCTGTGTGGAGATTTCTTGACCTACTAAACATAGAGCTTCCATATGATCCAGCAATTCCACTCCTAGGTATTTACCCAAAGGACACAGAAACATCAATTCCAAAGAACACCTGCACCCCTATGATTATAGCAGCACTATTTACAATAGCTAAGCTATGGAAACAACCCAAATGCCCAAAAATAGATGACTGGATCAAGAAGATATGGTACATATACACCATGGAATATTACTCAGCATTCAAAAAAGATAAACACATGCAATTTGCAGCAACATGGATGGCGCTGGAAGGGATCATGCTCAGCGAAATAAGCCAAAAAGAAAAAGAAAAATACCGGATGGTCTCACTCATAGCAGGAATCTAGAAAACTTAAATAAGGGACCAGGAAAATGAATAACTATATGAAAGTGAAAATCAAAATCAACAAAAAACTATGAACCAGAGACACTTTTTGGGGGGTGGGGGCCAGGAGGGGAGGGATTGGGGTCAGAATGGGGCATTTGCAATTGTATGGGGGAATATAAAAATAAAATTTATTATTTAAAAAAAAAATAAAAATAAAAATAAAAGAATGTTTTAGAGTCTATAGAAACTAAGTGGAACAAAGAAAAGTATTGGCTACATTTCTTTATGATTTCTTTAAGTTGTTGCTGTCTTCTAAGCTTTGAAGGAGGTGAAGCTTAAGTAGTTTGGATGAAGAACTTAGCAGGAAGGAATATATAATATTTATCTGTATTGTGTATATGTATGTGTTATATATATCAAACTTTAAAAAATCATTAACCCATCAATAGTTTCAATATGTAGTGTGATTTTTTTATCATGTACAATATATAGTACATACAGTATATATAATATGTAGTATATATGTACATATTATATATAATATAAAACTTTAAAAAAAATCAGTAGTTTCTCTCATCACATTATATAAATGGTGTTGAGCCTAAGCAGAATCCTGTCTTTTTTCGTAATTTTTATTTTGTGTAATATGTTGTCAGAATTTAAGTGAAAACTCTTCTCTGAATCATCTACCATTATAAATATTTTCAAGTTAATTGCTGGAGAAATAATTCAACAAAAAATATTCAATACAGCATTTTCTTATGTAATAGCTTTGTATGTTTTATTTTTAAACAGACACAAAACATGGAGGACACAAGAATGGGAGGAAAGGAGGCCTTTCTGGAAGCTCATTCTTCACATGGTTTATGGTCATTGCATTGCTGGGAGTCTGGACATCGGTAGCTGTTGTTTGGTTTGATCTTGTTGATTATGAGGAAGTTTTAGGTAAGAATATTGGTATCATTTCTCATGTGCATATGTAAGAGGGTGAGTAATAGCCCTTAGTAATTCAAAGATTTTACCATTATCTTCTTAGTACTACTGATATTTTTTGGTGTTTCAATGGTTCTCAGTAGGGTGGGAACAAAAAGAGATGTTCAGGTCTACCTTGAACATGACCTGTAATAGAAAGAAAAAAAGGCTTTATACTATATATTTATTGCATAGAGAAGTTTAAACAAATAATGCCTTCTCTCACTACATGCAATACTCTATAATATCTGTTGCATTTTGTTGTATTATGAATTTTAAAATTAATGATCATGAGCCATTGAGATTATTCAGGGAATCAATGAATCATAAACACATTATTCAGAAGACCCTGTCTTAAAGTGTTTTCAAATCATGTCCTCCTGTGTCTATGTGTGTGTGTCTGTGTGCTCCTCTAAGGAACTTACTGTGGTACTTGTGATAGCTATCCTTTATATATTTTTTCATTTTCTCTCTTTATAATCACTGTAATTTTTCATGATTTTTTGCATTAATGGTTTTTTACTGTTTTTCAGTCACAACACTTATTTCCTACCTTGCCAAAAGTCTTTTTAAAAAGTTGATGTGGGGGCCTCCCTGGTGGCACAGCGGTTAAGCACTGGGCTGCAGAGGTGCCTGCAGCCTCTGCAGCGCCGGTTTGATCCCTGGTGGTCGGCAAGGGTCCCACATGGCTCGCAGACCTCTTCTGCTGCCAGCTGCTCCCCTCAGCAGTGTATTTCGTCAGTCTGCCTGTTCTGCTCCCTGCTCTGGCTCTGGTGAATTCTCTCACCCTCCCACGCTTCTAACTGTACCTAATGCTTGTATAAATAAATAAATCTTAAAAAAAAAAATGTTGATGTGGAATTCAATATTGTAAATATATGAAAATGTAGAATCTAGTATTTTTTTTAAAGATTTATTTATTTATACAAGTATTGGGGTACAGTAAAAGGCATGGGAGGGTGAGAGATTTCACCAGAGACAGAGTGGGGAGCAGAACAGGTAGATGGACCGAAGACACTGCTGAGAGGAGCAGCGGGTGAGGCAGGAGAGGTCTGCCGTGCAATGTGGGTTTCTTTCTGGCCGGCTGGAAATCAAACACACACTGCAGAGGCTGTGGACAGCTTCACAGCAGGGTGCTCAACCCATTGCTCCACCGGCCAGGAGGCCCAGAATTTAATAGCTTTAAGTATGTTCATTTGTGCTGTACTCATCAGTCAGTTCTAGAATATGTCCATCACCCTCACCTCCATACCTTATCTTCCCCCCCTTTCCCTTTTCTGGTAAACACTAATATATTTCCTGTGTTTATGGTTTTGCTTGTTCTGGGCATTTCATATAAATCGAATCATATAATATGTGGCCTTTTGTCTCTTTTTGTAGTTAGTATAATGTTTTCAATGTTTAATTATGTATCCATCTTATTACTAAATTCCATTTATGGATACACCTGTTTTGCTTATCTCTTCATCACTGATGAACATTTAGCTTGCTTCTACTTTTGCCTGTTGGGAATAAATGTCCTTCTTTTTTAATAATATAGTGAAAGATGGGGACCCTGTTAGTAGAAAAAATGCACAGGTCCCTATGTGTACTGTTGCATAGAAAACTCTTCCCTTCCATAAAACCTCTGGCAATTTGTTAAATTATAGCTGTGTTGCTGGATTGGGAGGTGTGTGTTTGTGGGGGGTAGTAAATAATAACAAAATAAACGTATGTGTAATCCCTCTTCATTGAAGTTTTTAATTACTTTAAGGAAAGTATCTCTGGACAGATCCATAGACTGGAAGAGGAAGAATTTTAGTTTGGAGATGAACTTCTGAGTCTTAGTGATATGTTCCTAGAGAACATCTGTTAAACAAAAGAAGAAATTTAAAATTTCTGTATGTTTAAGTTCGAGTAACAATTTTGATGTTTTTACATGCATGCAGCCAAAGCAAAGGACTTCCGTTATAACTTATCAGAGGTACTTCAAGGTAGGCTGTTGGAAATGCCTTTCAAGTCTACTTGTATTAGTTTCTAAGCTAATTATCACCTGCATCAGAGAATATAGTAGGACCAATTTTCCCTTTTAAGTTTATCAGAAAGTATATTATTTTCTGTATTTTTAACATCACCAGAGCTCTTTTCTGTAGGTAGCCTCTACCTGCAGATCAGTGGTTTTGATAGCAATAGAAATCATAACTTCCTTATCTGTTGTTATTATCATGTCTGCATTTTCTAAGCCAGACTTCCATATACTAAGTTAGCCATTTTCTGAGTTGAACAAGGGAAAGGCAAAGATTGGTTATCATGGCTTCACTACTCCAAAAATTCTGCCTATTCTTATACATTGTTTTAATTTTCATTTTTTTAAATAAATGGTAATAGTGCTGCTAATTTGTTTTGTAGTACTAACGCTATGTTTGTGATTGTTTAAAATATGGCTGTATGTTCCAAATTTTTTTCAAAGTCATTTTCAAGTGGTGAATTATAAACATGTAGATTTTAGGGATTTTAATGTACTTGACTTATTTGAAATGCTAAACATAGCAGTGTTCCCTGATGTTAAAGCATTCAAGCTTTAAGATACATATTCACAATTCTTGAAAAGAAAGGATGTGGTAGGATTATCTCCTCAGCTTATCTGTTTTAAATCTTGTTTTCTCAGTAATAGGTGGTCAGTTCTTATTAAGTTTTCAAGTAGAATAAGTAAGTTTCTCTTTGTAATTTCAGGAAATCAGTTTTGTGTACTTTATTTCCAAGACATTTTTTTTTTGAGGTTGATTCATCAAGTTTCTATTGTAAATCATGCTACAATATAGAATTAATATCACTCTTATTTTTAAGTATTCCCACTTGATGTAAATTATTTATATTAATGTTGATATTTGGTGGGTATTCCTTTGTTTTGAACATTGATGTTATAAAGAACTTTCATACTTGAGAAACAATAAATGTCATGTAACTGTTAGAAATGAATCAATAATGTTTCTTACATATATTGACAATCTTACCAAAAATATCTTTAGCAGTACTAGGAAAACATTTATTCTGAAATTATTAAAGCAAGGTGTTGTTAAATAAACCTTTAAAGAAAGTAGTATGTCAGTTTTTTTCCTTAGATTTGTTAGGTGAACATTTCCAGATTTTAATAGTGAATTGCCCATCACTTTTAGGTAAGATATTTATTGAGCACTGTTTTTCAGGATTAAAAAAGCAAAGAATTGCACTGATTGATTATATTTTTGAATGATGTGCAGAACTGCAGTAAGTAATGATACCTTATTAAATGTATTTTCCATTTTGTTCCCATATCCATCTTTCTTTTCCTCTTATAGGAAAACTTGGCGTTTATGATGCTGATGGTGATGGAGATTTTGATGTGGATGATGCCAAAGTATTATTAGGCAAGTACACATTTTGTTTTTTGTTGCAGAATGATGGAAGTAAAAGAATGTATTTGCCTTTACTTGTTTTAATAATATCTATATTAATTGTATATCCTTTATGGGAGATATTTCCCACTTAAATCATGTTTTATTCTTGAGATAATAGTTTATTGTTTTTCCATAGGCTTTCATATTTCAATTTGCTTTTATAAGTGAATAAGTGTGTTTTTCTAGCACATAATTTTAATAAACATAATTTCATGTGTGTTTTCAGATTTAAAGTACTCCATATCCTCAATTTAACATTATAACATAAAGATATGTCCTAATCTGTTTTTCAAATGTAATAATTACAGCAAAATTTAACATAATTTACTTACATCTGAAAAATGTAACTTTCTAAAGACTTATATAATGTCATTTTGAGATAAAATAGTGATAGCAAACATCTTAAGATGTCCTGTGTGTTTATTTAAGGTAACATTAAGATATGAACTGTTAATCTTTGGCGAGGTTTCTTTATTTTGGAAGTCGTGGACCCTTTTTAATCACCAAATACTTGTTTTTATCATTAAGATGTATCTTACAATAAATAAAGATGTGATATTCCCTCATTTGTTTTAAAATGTTTTACTAAAAAGGAGATGCTAAATTTAATATGCAAAATTTTATATAATCTGGCCTAGTGTGAGGTAAGTACTTCAGTTTATTAAACAACACATTTCCTTTGCTTTAGTATTGGCTTAATATGTATTAAAATGTTTTATACCAAAGTCTTTAGAAATATAATGATTCAAGCATGGTTTTTATATACTAAACTTAAAAAATTAATGACACAAAGAAATTCTTCCTTCCATACAATTCTGTGTACATTTTATGGACATAAAATAATGAGAGGATAACACATCTGTGACCAATAAAACTGTTTTCAGCAGGTTAGTCTTAACTGATTATAAAACAGTAAGTTCTAAATATGAGAAAAGGGTTTTTGTTGTGATTAAATGTAATACAGCTTTTTAATTTTGACTATAACTTAGTTTTCGTATTACTGCTAAGTGGGAATTATGTTTGTTACTTAACAGTACGTGTTTACTAAGTTCATGAAATTTCTTTTCTACCTTAACCATAATGGAATTTTTTATGTAATTCTTTTATTATGTATCTAAATTTGAGTTTTTAAAAATACAGTAAATCCTCAAAAGGCAAAAATCCTAGGCATGCAAAAGAAATTTACATAGATTATAACGTCAGGATGATGCTAATTTCCTCACATCAAATTATGTTTTTTTTAACTTTATTCAGTTACTTTAAATGATGGATTCTGAATAGTAAAGCTTTTTGTGTTAATAATAACTTCATGTTAGCTCTCATTTTGAAGGTAGTATTACTTCTCATCTACTTTATTTTGTTGTGATAGGAAATTTCCACTATTAAAAATGAAAATGTTTGTTCTCTAGGACATGATTTCTAGAGCAAACTTACATTACTAACTTGATTTATGGCATTATATTTTAGATTTCAGAAATTGATTCCTTTCACAATTCTTAAGCAGCCATTAAGAGATAAATTGGAACTTAGAACTATTACCAGATAGACACATAAGTATGTGGGCAAGTCAAAGTGTTTTCCTTTCATAAGGCCTGTATACTTGGAGATAGAGCCAAATTTGGTTAAACTCAGATTTCACTTTGGTTATTTGACTGTAAATGCACAAAGGCTAAGATAAACTCTTTTGCTATTATACATACACATTTGACTCATGTCTGTAGTAAACATGAAAGAAATCAAAAGTGAACTGTTAGCTCTCTTAGGTTTTCTATCTTATTTCAGAAGTTTTTCAGTTTTCTGCATGAAGTACAACCTTAGCTGTAATTGAACTTTATGACTAAATTCCTTTTCTAGTTTATGAGGTAGCTTAGTTTTGCCTCTCTTACTGACCGGTGGTTGCAAACAGAGAATCTAATGACGTTCTTAGACTCTGTACATTCGGGAGAAGTTACAGGGGCATTGTTTTAGGAGTGTCTCCCCCCACCCCAAAAGAGACTTCCCTGATCCATTCTCATTGGAGAGGCAGCTCAAGCATAGGGTCTTTGGATTAGGGACAAAGGGTCTGTAAATGGAGGAACAAATATGGGAAGTCTGAGATTCAGGGGAGAGCTTGTCCTTGTATGTATAGTAATAGTTGAGATGTGTGGAACTTTCATAGGTTAGACATTTATTTCATAAGTACTTTTTTTTTTGGATTCTTAAGTCTGCATATATCTAAAGTCTTAGAAATTTGTGTAAATGGACACATTCATGACTGTATTTCTTTTAAGGTTTTTGCTTTTCTTGGGAAAAAGAATGAAATTCGTGGGTAAATCAAATCAGTGGTCATCATTAAATTTATTGTTTCATTTCCGGCCCTGGCCCTTATACTTTGAAAATATTCGTAGTCTGTTCTGATTTATATCACATCCTGCTTTTGTGTCCAAATTATTGAACATAAAAGTATCATTGATTTTGGTTTGGACTATTGAAAACTATATTGGTTGAAACTAGTTTCCAAAATAAAATCAAGAGGAAAATGATCTGAGGACTAATTGTCAAGAGTAACATCTTAGAGTCGCACCACCTAAGGATTATGTGGTCGACCTTTGTTCTATAATGAGCATCTAGTTGGCACCATATTTAGTATGTCTGGATCACAATGGGAAGCTAGTCAACAATTCCTGGGGTCTTGATAATTACTTGTAGACTGGATGGAGGTATGCGTGAGCAGAAGAGATAAGAAACATGAACCTTGTCTGGCCACAGGATTATACCAGGCTCGTTGGTTTTCAGGCCTACTTTTGTAGATTAAGGAGTTATATTCCCTAATTAAGGAGTTATATTCCCTATTATTTTCCTTTTCTCTGTCCCTTTTTTTTTTTTTTTTTTTAAAGATTCATTTATTTATGCACACAAGAACTGGGGTACAGGCCAGAGGTGTGGGGGGTGAGAGGATTCACCAGAGACAGAGTGGGGAACAGAACAGGCAGAATTGACTGAAGTACACTCCTGAGGGCAGCAGTGGGCGGGTCAGGGGAGGTCTGCTACACCATGTGGGTAGCTTCCTGGCTGGCTATCGAACTCTTGCTGCAATGGCTGCAGATAGCTTCATAGGTTGCGTCTTAACCCCTTGTGCCACCAGGGAGGCCCCCTTTTCTCTTTGGATTAGTGCTTTTGTCTTCAGAACCACAGAAAGATTGCATAGTTGGGTGGATAGTTTTGCTCAAACACATACATATTTTCCATACACTTTAGCTTGCCATACTCAAGGGTGGTAAATTTATATTTTATGTTTGATAATGGAAAAATGGAGAAAAAGAAAAATGTTTATGGTAAATAAACAACTCTCATGTTTTAAGGCAGGAAGAGACAATTTTATTCCTACAGAGATTTGGGTGGGAATACAGATTTCTGTTCATAGCACTTATCAACTGCTAAATTCAGTGAAAAAATATTCTGGGTTTCTTAAAAAACAATTTAGATACCAACTGCAGTTTGTATCTTCCCCTCCCCTACTACATCAGGTGAACAAAATGGACTGTAATCTTTAATATTTATATTTGTGTTATTAACATTTTCTCTTACCTGCCAGTCTTGATTGCTGATAGTTATGTTCTGTGTTTCCAAGGCCTGAAATTTTGAATTAGGTGGTTATAACTGAAAAATTCTAGAATCTTGAATGTTTACATTTCTTACAGTCAGAACCATCTAACCTATTTTTTTCTTTACTACAAATTATGGACCTTGCAACATAAAGCTTGTAGGCTATAGCAAAGAGAAGAGACCTTTCCCACCTAAAGCTAGTTCTCAACAGAAAAAAAAATGATAAAAACAAATATATACATTGTTTACTTTTCATTATTGTGACCTGTTTTAGGATCAATCCTTAGAATCCACAGACATCAGGGATCTTTGCAGTAGAAGCTAATTTTATAGGCTGATGGGGAAAGAACTTTGGAATATGCCTTTTTCAGATAACTGGCAACAACCTTGATTAGATACTATATTGGTAAGCAGTGTGACTTATTATTAGTTGACTCTTGCTACTAACCAGAATTGTAGGGCCATGAGTTAGTAACTATGGCATTATAGAGCTAACACATTTCATTTCATAGTGTTAAAATTTAAGTCAGTTGTCTGAGTTACACTATTTGATTACATTTATGCCCATTTAAAAAGGATATAAACGTTAATCCTGCCAGTCATATTAATTCCAGAGTTTCTTGTTAACTCCAGGTCTTACGGGGAAAATTTGAGGAAATTCTCAATCAAGAATTTATTGACATGTGTAAATGTTTATATATATAATCAACTCTCGATAATATCTGATGAGCAGATCCAGAAGTTGTTAAAATTACTTATTTTGTAACCCTGAAAATACTTTCATTCACTTTTCCCAGTGATGTTAGTCAGTCAATTTTGGCTGATAGATTTTTGTCAGTTTTTCAACTTCAGATTCTCTATTGAACGAAAGGCAAACCACGTTTAGAGGCTAACAGGACTGGTGAGGATTGGACAAATTGTCCTTTCTTCTCATACATATGATTGAGAGTTGATTGTAAGTTGTACATCTTGATCAGTTTCTTTATTTTCCAAAATACCTTTTCTATAAACTTCTGTGTCCATGATATATTCCTTTTTGAGCTCACTCTTTCTCACCACCTTTTTCCACCTAACTGCTCTCCTTATTTTCTCTTTCTCTCTTCCTTTATTCTTATGTAGGCCTGACCAAAGATGGCAGTAATGAAAATATTGATTCTCTTGAGGAAGTCCTTAATATTTTAGCAGAGGAAAGTTCAGATTGGTTTTATGGTTTCCTCTCATTTCTCTATGATATAATGACTCCTTTTGAAATGCTAGAAGAAGAAGAAGAAGAAAGCGAAACTGCAGATGGTGTTGATGGTACGTCACAGAATGAAGGGGTTCAGGGAAAGACTTGTGTCATTTTGGATTTACATAACCAGTAACTTTGATTCAGGGACTGACGTCATTGACTTATGAAAACCTGAAGTAGCCTCCTTTTCTTTCTTCCCCTTTTCACCCAGGCCTTGATGTGAGTGGGGCAGCTATGGTCTTACAGTAAGAGGCAGCCATGCAGTCTTTCCCTCTAGTACAGCTCCTAGCTTGTCTCCTGCTCAGGCCCCCTAAGTCTAGTGAAAAAAAGTGGTATTCGTCATTCTTGTAGTAGTCTACAAAATATATTGACAATGATGTTCTTGGTGGTATAATTGGTTTCTGTATTTTGTTTTAACTTATGTATTTCCTGACCTAAAGTTAGAAACGTAATAATAGCAGATTGTTTTGTGATTAACCCTTAATGCTTGTCTTTCTAACACACTATTGAGATGATTATAATGGACTGGATTATAAAATATTTTTAGCATGACTCGTAAATTAAATACTTCTCTACTGACCTTTAACATGACTGATGTGTAAGATGATTGTTCTTAAAACTGATATTTTTTATTGTAATTTGTTTAGATTAACTGGTTTGTTGGATAGGTTACTACACATTTCAATGTAAACTTCTGTATTAATGGTGCTTTTAAAATAATTTGAAAATAACCCCATGTTTTTGCCTTAGGGTAGTGAAATTACTGTAATCAGATTATGTTTATGAAAGCAAAATTTATTTTTAATTTTATTTCCAAATATACATCCAGAGAAAGTAATTTGTATTTTTTTTAAAGTAGGCATATTACACAGAGGGAAAATGTGGATATGTATCTTAAATAATGTTGTACATATTAAAATTATTCATCCTAAATTGCAGTCTTTTTCCATTTTTTCATGTATTGCCTTATCAATTGGCTATCATCTTTGTCATAGGTATGATTTTTAGATTTGTAAATTAAATTTTTAAAGTGGTCCTTCTTTTTAGGAAAATAAATTTTTGCCATTAGAAAACCTTAAAAACATCTTTGAATCAATTCATTTAAAATGAGTTTTCTTCAGTAATGGCAAGAGCAACTGTATCAGTAAACATATAGCTGACATATCTTAAAATGAGAGTTCGTTTTCTCCTTCAATCTGATATCTTAGAGCTTGAAAAACCTGTGTTTCCTGTTACTCTATGAGGGAGTGGTGTTTCATGCTAAATCTGTTTGAGCTCCTGTGAAACTTACTTTTGGTTCTTCATAGAGAATAAAATTCAAAAAATGTTTCCATTTTTAACATTTAACTATTCATATCTATTTCTCAAATAGTAGTATGCTTTATTTATAGTTAATGAAATTGCTTCCAGTAAGTGTTGTTTTTTTTTCCCCCAGAGTGAAATATGACAAATTTCGTTCCCTTACCTAAAATTAAAAGTCCTAACTCAGAACACAGGACTTGAGCTGCCTCCCACTCTATTCACCATTTTCAGGTATCACAGAAAGCTGTCCAGTTTGTTCATCTTATTTTTTTAAAAAGCATTATTTGAAAGGTACTTTTGGATATAAGTATACATTTTGTGTTGGACAGAGATGTGAAATTTAAATAGCTATTAAAACTTTACTTTGTCTTTCCCTAATTATTTGGGGGTATGTTTTACTCTGTTAGTTTCTGATAGTGAAAGCTCCTGATTTTGATTGCTTCTCCGCCTTTTGGCTAAGAACAAGTGTAAAAGCTCCTTATTTTGAAATGTTCATATTCTGGAAGAAATTACTATAATTTAACGATGTTCTTAAAACATATATACTAATTTTTCCATCTTTATTGTGTCTTCTACACTGAATTTGAGTACTGTGAAATATTAAAATTTATTAGTTTAAATTTAAAGGCACTCTTAGGCCTCACTCTCAATGCAGTTCACCTAGCTAAATGTCAGAGATGTTATTTTTAAAGTATTCTTTTTCTTAATACTTCATTGTTACTAACTGGAAGATGTTTGGTCAGTTTACAAGAAGTAGATAATTAAATTTGTTGTTAAAATGTTTGAAATCTTAATTTTTCATCAGGATCTTTTTTTGTGATACTAATGAACATTTTATGTACAGAAATTAATTATGCTTATTTTTGTATGTGAAAAATAATGTGAGATACTTTACATTTATTTAGTATCCCCTTAAATTAACCCTTTTGAGAGTTTCTGATGAAGGTAAAATCTAGGTAGCTGTGAACCCCTGACTTCTGTGACTTCCTTCAACTTGTGCCTAAGGCTGTTTTGGTGAGAGAAAGTTGTTTACAAAACGGAATTCATTAAAAGTATTCACAGAATACTTTGAAGTTGATAAAAATTATTTCACTTGTTTTACTTATGTTTGTTATAATTCTTAATTTTCTAAGAATTTATTATGTAATTTTCTGTTTCATAAGTGTGTTTTCTTAGCTTGTTTAAGGTTATAAACTTGCATAAAAAGGCAAAATTGTATGCTATACGTTTGAGTATTTATTTGTTAAGTTCCTGAATTTTAAGTTGCAGTATATTCACTCTGCTTTTCTAGTTTTGAACAGCCGAAGGAGCTTTGTGGCACCTGTTCACATGTGGTGTTGTCTCCTCAGAGCTGCTCTTTTGCTTCTTCAGCTGCACTGCCATTTGTCCAATTGACATGGCAATGGGTTCTCTGGAGTTTGGCACAAAACTGACTAAGTGGCACTCTGGGGATTTCTTTCCTGCACTGTAGCTTTGTTTGGCCCTGTTTTTTCCTGGGACATGAGTGGTGGGACATAAGTCAGTTGGAGAAGTGTCGTCTCTATTCTGATCTTACTAAATCCCTAAGGCCTAGCTGCCAGCATCCTGCCTTAGGTATCATGCACATGCCTTGACCGTAATGGAAATGCTGGGGGGAATCCTGCTTCTTCATCTAGTACTTGGTTCTCTATTTAGAAGTTTCCTCCTTGTATCCAGACATGTAAGCAAACCATTTTTTCTGTTTCAATTTTTCTAGTCTTTTTACTTATACCTGGCTAGACTGAACAAAGTATGTCCTTGCCTCCCTTGATATTAATAACTTTGGGGAATTATCAAAAGTAAATATATACAGAAACAATTCTTAATTTGATCACTTGTTGGGGGGGGGTGTGTGTGTGTGAGAGTGAGAGAGAACGAGCTAGCGAGCAAGAGATAATTTGGGTTGTGGATTTTTTTTTTTTGGATCACATGCACATTTCATATATAGAGTACTATTATGAAACTCAGAGATGCAGACCTTAGTATCACAAGTTAATAATGAAAAAGTAAGTCAAATTCTCTTCCTCTGTTATTTGTTGAAGTAACCATGGAGTTGCTTGTATAAATATGGGAATAGATATTAAGTAGATATGAACTTCTTGAAGTTAGGAACCAGAGCTTTGCCGTTCATTTGAAGCCTGCTTCAAAGCTGAGCCCAAGATTGTTTTCATTAGTTATTTGTTGGAGTTAGTCTTGATCAGTGAGAACTCAAGAGTTACTACCCATTGCAAAATAAAACACTGAGTTTTTTAAAATCAGTTTTAATAAGTGAAAAGATTATTGAACAGATTTTTTTCAAGAGAAATGATATTTGAAGTTCATGAACTGACAGATGCTAATAAAGGTCTTCAGGTGATCTGTCTCATTGTTATTTGAATCTACATTTTGTCTTCTGCATGTAAATCCTTACTCATCTTTACTGTTTCTATTCTCTTATGTTCTAATCCTCCTTCCCCCATTTATCACAGAGTTGGTG